TTAAGTGCATCTATCAAAGTTGGACAAGCAAAAACTGATCACTACGAATATTCATCGGAAAACTTTATATAATAAAATGATAGCACACTCAGTGATCTCAAGATTATTACAAATATAAATTATTTTTCTGATATATATATATATCGTTAAAGATTAAGATATTCTATCATTATTAAACTTTTCATATCAAGAGATTGTCATAAGATTGGAAATAAACAGCTATCGAAAAAGTATTGAATCTATCGCAGAATATTTAAAATTCTAGTATATGTCTGTTTCATTTCATTAAATATTCGTAACCTAAGTGTAGCGTTTCTGTTTACAACAAATAGACAAACTTGATTATAAAAGTTCTAAATTACTATTATTTTCTTTTATATCTATGTAATTTACTTGAGTCAATTATCAATTTCAATTACGTATTTACAGTTGTTTTGTTCTTGTTTTTTCGATGGATCTATGATTCAGAGAACAAAGTGAATAAAGGCATCTCTATTTGAACTGACTCGACAAAGTCTATATTCGATTCAATATAGATTTCTGCCTTCTCTTCATACAAGATCATATTCACACCGTCATCCGATAGCTAAAGAGAATATTCATGATAGGAATGACTCTAAGGACGATGTTGAACCATTTATCTATATGATCGCTAACTGTCTTACATGTGAAAATATTATTCATAGTGTGGATAATGGGACAACACCAACAGATTTAATTCTTTTAGATAAAGCTAATGAGGAAACATATTCAGGTGTTCAAGCCGTTTAGACCCTATCTTTCGGCTATAAATAGGTCTCGATGAAGTATGAAAAATCTGAAGAAGATTCGTTCCCTGGTGCCTTTGTTCTTGAGATATGACTGTGTTACTGGGTTTTGGGTCAATGACTCAGCATTTCAGAAAAAATCAGATGAATGAATTTTGATCTGAAATGTCGCCTATAAATAGGTCTAATGATTTGTAGAATATTCCTAACGTTTCAGTCACAATGGATGCTCCAATAGGGAGCTACTAGAATTTCACAAAATACCTATATTTTGAGAGGATAATCTAAAGTCGAGATTTTTTAAAAACAGAATATCTCGCACAGGAAGCATCCATTTGTACTGAAACGTTAGAAATATTCTACGAATCATTAAACCTATTTATAGGCGACATTTCAGATTAAAGTTCATTCATCTGATTTTTTCTGAAATGCCAGGTCTTTGACCGAGTACCCAGTAAAACAGGTATATCTCGGAAATAAAGATGCAAGGGAATGAATCTTCTTCAGGTTTTTCATATCTCATCGAGATCTACTTATTGTCGAACGATGGAGCTTAAACGGCTTGAACATCTAAACATGTTGCCTCGTTAGTGTATTTTTGAATGATTAGATAATCAATGATCTAATGAAGAATTGATCGATGTTGTGCATTGATGATTTTCTCACGAATTGAAAATGTTCATCGATCAAATTGTTGTAGAACAAAAGAAGACCTCGATTGACAATCTTTTGCAAATGTTTCTTTTGTTTGTCAATTATAAGACTCACATTTATTCTTTTCAACATTCACATTAGTACATTTTCTCAATTCAAATGATCAACGAGGAAAGACACGACGTGTTCTTTACTGATTTTCGATATTTCTATTCAAAAATTTCAAATATCACATTTATTCAATAGAATGATTGAATGAAATAAATCTTTTTCATTGAATATAAATAAAGAAATAAATAAAGAAATGAATTTGATTTGAAACATTCACGATCTTCTTAAGATCGGATTCAAACTAGTCGAGAAAGTGATGAAGAATATTTGAATAGAAATTCTTTGTTTATTAATCATCAACATCCTACTTTGTGTTGTTCATTCGAACAAACAAAAACGAGAGCAATCACTTTTATTCTCATAAAGATGAAAAAGTGTTCATATGGAATATCATATTCATCAAATAATACAGAACACAAACAACCCTATTCTAACTGATCCAAAGACAATAAGCAGCTACTATTGCAGTAATAGTAACTGACTATTTAGAATTAAAGTTGTCCACAAATATCTTATAGTTTCTTCAGAGTTTGAATGAACTTTTTCCATATGAAGCTATGAATTCTCAAATAGAAGTCGATCATTATCATATATTAACAAATCATTTCCACCATTTTTACTTATAACAAAGCTCAAATTTTGTATCACCCAATAATTTTGATTATATCTGCTAAAAAATTCAACTGGTTCACTAGATCATTTATTTTCGAGATTTTGATCAAACAAAAATGAAATACCACATTTAGCTCTAATATATATTCTCAGATCTACATTTATGTTCTTTTCAAGAGCATCGTTGGAAGAAATTCCAGCAGACATTGCTTTCTCAAGCTACTGCCATCAAACTGTTATCATATACAAATGAAAAATGATTTTATTCTGTGTTGTCCATAATGGCAAAAATTTTTGAACAAAAAAAGAACATATGAGTTTCAACAAAGTCAGAAAAGTTTCTAGAATGTTTTAGTCAAATGTCAAGAATATTTCATCCACGATACCGTTCTCATATATCTGCTTATTTCTAACTTTCCTTCACTAAAGTGTTTGCTTTTTGAGCCTATTTTCGACAGTTGGAAAAATACAGAAGAGTACAAAGAAAAAAATCGTGCGTCAATTAATATTACTTGAATGTGATCACATCAAATAAGACTAGCATTGATTGTAGCCATGACGATTTAATTAGAGCGTTATAGATTTGAATTGAGAAAGTCGAACTCATTTTTAACCATTGTATCTTAATAATATTAAAGTCACTTAAATGTTCTAATAAACTTGTGATTCTTTTCGGATATGCTAGAAGTTTCCAGATGATCAGTTGTTGTCATCAAAATGACACGAGTAAGAATACTATTCTTTCTGTTTATTCCAAATAATTTCCTATTTGCATGAGAAACATTCAGGCAAAATCTTTTGTATATTGAAATCACTTATCTTTCAAATCACAAGGATTTGGGTCTGGTTGTGGATGTAGATTCTAGTGATGGTGCAGAGAGTCACCACCGACACACCCACAGCCTTCTCACTGACACTCAGATGCAGTACTGTTCGATCACTATCTTCTATTGTGCATTGTTTACAACATAAATATTGAATCCATTGAAGAATCAACCGTGGATCGATGCTACTGATTCTAGAACAAGAAAAAACTCTTGAAACTACAAGGTACATTTATCTGATTTTGACTGCTTTGTACCACGTTAGTTGTGTGGCCGTTTGAAACAAAAATCAATCTTCAAATGTTGTGACAATCAACACGAAAACAATGGATTTATTATGCATTGCATAGGTGATACTTTGAGTAAATTTCAATTCGTAAAAGTCAGTTATTTTCGAATAGATTTTTGCTTTGTATACTTCGAATGATGCTGCTTGCTTGTTTCCATTGAGTGTGAGTGGTTAATATCTTCGAATTCTTCCACACCCACACCCACACTCACACCAACACCATAGCTGAAAAAAAAAGAGGGTGTCGGTGTGGATATGGGTGTGGGTCGTGAGTGTGGGTATGAGGGTGTGAGTGTGGGGGTTGGTGGGTGTGGGTGTGGCTTTGGGCTTTACACTCTTCAACACCCACACCCTCCTTTTTATTTTCAAACTATGTTTTTGAAAGCGCAAAAAAAACGCACGTGTTAAAGCTCCCCTCAGAAAATCAAGTTTTTCAGAAAAATATCGAAGTTGAATTTTTATCATAGGAAGATGCAACGAAGTTTCCTCTTTCAGAATATGTATATTTTTTTGAAAAATGATCAGATTTTAAAAGACTTATCGCATGAAACTTTAAATTGGCTACCATGTTTTCGGAGAAATTTTCGTGGTTTTTCAAGGTTGCCAGTTTCAGAAACATTGCGCTCCTATTTGCATTATCATTGAATAGAATATCTGTATACAAACCAGCACGTCAGATGGTGCTAGCTACCTTCATCTTTTACGTCCTTTAAAACGGTGCAATGGAATATACCATTGTAATATGGCTTGTTCTGGATTTGAATTAAAAAATCCACTTCTAAAAATTCTTTAGCGTTTTTCTCAAAACATGGTTTCTAGACAGGAAAATTGACATAACTTCCGCTCGACTTGGCATATGGCTGATGTTTTTTTGTTTTAAAGGTCTTAATCAGAGCTAACTTTTCATCAGACGGATTTTTGATACTCGATTCCAGGGCTAAGAAAAGTGGAACTTACTGTTGTAGAGTCACGTTTTTCTATGCTTGTTTTGCAACAATGTCCACAAAAATACTCATAAAAAAATGAATGGAAGGGAGTTTCAAAATTCCATTTGATGAAAAGTTGCATACAGAGGCTAGCTCCAATTTGAAACCAGCCGGAGCTCTGTACCCTTTCTAACGACAGAGTTATGTCGATTTTTTACCACAAGAGTTTCTCACTAGGACTAATCATTTCTGAAAATTTCAGCCCAAACAGTGGGTCCTAAGTGGGAAGTCAATTCTTAGGGGGAAGCCCTTAACGCATTTTATTGATTTTGTCTCATGGAGAAACGATATTCGAACGTTTTTGTGTGTTCTGTGAATTATGTGTGCATAACAGCATGTGATGGGGTGTATTCATTTTCATAAATACCATGCTATTGAATTTTTTTCTTTCGCTCCAGCATAGAAATGAGCTTATCATTTATCAAACTTCCTTCCTTTTAGATTTATTGTACAAAAGTATACCCACTCAAAAGTTATAAAACAAAAAATATATTCGTTAATTTTTTTTTACTAACGTTGTTTTTGCTGCAAAACAGTGAGAATAAAATTATTGAAAATATCATTTCTCAAAACAGTTACAGAGACAGTAAGTACAATCCTATGTCATTAATATTCTGATACAATTATGCATTATCTTTTCATATTTTACTGAAAAGAATGTTCTTACTTTTTCTATTTCTTTGATTAACAATAAGTGATAGATAGATGCAACTTTTTCCGATATCTAAAACTACTTATTGTTTTTTTTTTTGAGGACATGGCTGACTTTGGAATGGCAATAATGACGCAAGAGTACGCCAAACAAGCAGCTAAAGAAGCTGAAAAACAACAACAAATTGATAAAGCTGTTCAACAAGACTGTTTAGATGCTATTAATAAAGTGGCGAACGATATTGTTTCAGTAAATCCCGATATTTCTGAAATTGTTACAACACATCTTGGTCTTGAAAACGATCCACAGACTAGACGTTTTCTAGAATTTGTTGCAACTGCTACGAGTTTCGCCTCGATGAAATTTGTGGAACGCTTACGGAACATACCAGAATTGGTTGGTTCAATTAAACGTTTACTGATCGAAATGATGAAAGAAATCAAGGAGTTTTCTGATATAGCTAATGAACTGCAAGATTTAATACATTGTTTTATCAAGTTAGTGGTAAATACTAAACAAAATATGACATTAGTTATGGCGCCATTACAAGAATCGATAGATCACATGGAAATTATAGCTGATGCTTTATCACCAAATTCAGATAAATCATTAGAAAATCGTGACAAAGAAGATATTGAACTTGCTTTACAGGGTATGTCATGTGGTATCGAAAAGTTACTTCAGTTGGCTCGAACATCAAAACAAGAAAGTAGTAATCTTGACGAAAAAATTAATGTGATGAAAAAAAATATACAAGAAAAAAGAATTGTAGTAGAAGGAAGACTAGAAATAGCCAAATGTGCTCCTTGGCTCGAAGCTGCAGGTGGAGGTTTTGCTGGATTTTTAGTTGGTGATGCTCTTGTTGCTGGTCCTATATTAGGTAGTGCTGGAGCGATAATAATTGGTGGTATTGCCTTCCCTCCTGTGCTTGCTATCATTGCCGCAGCTTTAGTAGGAGGCGCTCTTGTTGGCAGCATCGTTTACCTTGTAAAAAAACTTTGGGCTCGGCATAATAGAAAAGCACTTGCATATTTAAATGAAGTTTTAAAACTTTTGGTGAAATTAAGTGATGCTAATCTTTATTTTTGTAATTATATGGCAAGAGCAGAAGCTGGTGCTTCTAAAATTCTAAATGAAACAAGTCAAATTCAACGAACAATAACCACTGGTAGTGAACGTTACCGAAAAATTAATGCACGTATATGTACTGAAGCTATTCAATCGACGAATGAAATGATAACATGTATTAAAGAAATTGTACAAATCGATATGTCAGAATGGAGTAGCAGTTCTGCTGTCTTAAGTTTCGCATCATCATCATCCAAGGCAGAATCTTCAATTAAAGCTATCAAAAATTGAACGTTGTACTAATGTCATGTAGAACACAATTTCATATAATCTAGATCATTTTTTATGTAACTAAACTGATTTTTACTATTTATTTTATTTTAAACTTGAAAATCATGTTGTCTTGTATCATCATTCTTAACTGTTTTACTATTCAAAAATAGGATGTAGATATGAATGTACACCCATATCTGGCATCCGCATCCTAGATCCACACCCGTGCATCGCTATTCAACAACATGAAGGATCGCGTTTTGACAAATACAGCTGTGGGCAAAAAAACTTGCGCAAATTTTCTTTTTATCTTAGAATCTTTCCTTATGGCTCGAAGCAACTATAAGCGGCATTTTTCTAGGGTTGACTCTTCGATAGTTATACTAGATAACGACTATAGAGAACTGTGACTTTTTTTATTTTTAATATGTATTTTTACGATTAAATTACCTTCTTCTACTTCGAAAAGTCTATCATATATCAATATTATACTGTTAACAAGGGGGAAACAGCAGAGACTTCAGCCGTGAACTCTCATGAAGTCTTGAAAGTCTTTCGAAGTCTTCTGAAGTCTTATGAGGTCTCACAAAGTCTCTTGAAGTCTCTGAAGTCTCATAAAGTTTTATGAAGTCTCATGAAGTCTCATAAAGTCTTATGAAGTCTGATGAAGTCTTATAAAGTCTCAAAAGTCCTACAAAGTCTGTGAAGTCTCACAAAATCCGTGAAGTCTCATGAAGTCTGTGAAATCTCACGAAGTCTTTTAAAGTCCTCTGAAGTCTCATGAAATCCTATGAAGCCTTGTGAAGTCCTTTGAAGTCCTATGAAGTCTTAGGAAGTCTTTAGAAGTCTTATGAAGTCTTTAGAAGTTTTTTGGAGTCTTGTGAAAATATGAAGTCACTATGGTTGAAGTCTTTAGAAGTCTTGAAGTCCACTGTTTCCCCCTTGCTCATAAGTATATCTGTGCACATGCTGGTAGAGATTATTGATCTATTTTTTAATTACAGACAGGAGGTCGAAGTCAAAGCATATTACAGATCATAGATCGAATAAAACGAATGAAATTTTTTTTTCAAATAATATCTTGGTCTTGATACCTCCTCGTATACTATTTTTATCTGCCCTGGATTTGTGGGAGAGTCCACCATATGGCAATATCTGATATTTTATGATGACTCTTATATATATATATATGTACTTTCTCTCAAAGTATAGCTGTTGAATAGAACCTTTTATGATTCTGTAGAAAGTTCTGCATAAAGGCGAGAGAAGCTCTAATTCTTTATCGGAGCTTAAAATCTTTAAACTTTTTAAGAGTATATATCTATAATGTATTTAAATCGATAATTTTATTTTTCTAGTGATATTAACAACATGTTGTTATTTTGTTTTTCTCTACTCTATCTCAGTCAATCATTGTTTGCTGTTGAATTGTCTATCTACAAAAGTTTTACTGAGATTCGCCAAGTTTCTAATGGAATCGGTCAATACACGAGTCGATTTACAAATGCTGATTATCAAAATATAGTTGAAGGATCGATCAGTTGGGAAGGTACACCATTAGTTCGACAAGAAGTCTACAATACAATTCAATCACTCCAAGATGCTACTGTAACAGTACAACGATCGACAGTGTGCGCCTGTGAAACGATTCAAGCAAAGATTGTCGATCCCAATTCGATGTTACTTCAAAATTTGAATACAGGAGCATATTTTTATGCTGATAAAAATTTGATTGAATATACATCGGTACGACCGAACGAAGGTGAAACAACATTGGCTCTTCAATTTCAAACTGAAACAACAGAACGTAAGGGAACTTTGTCATACTTAATGAAAGGAATCACATGGACACCTAGTTATGATCTTTTGTTGACAGGCAACGATGGTAAGTAAAATCTTTTGTTATTAATTTAAATTTTCTTTTTTGAATACGTCATTCTATTTTAGATTACAAACTTCGTACTTATGCAAACATTAGAAATGATCAACAACAAGAATATACAGTGGAGAAAACTCGTCTCTTAGGTGGTGATGTGCAATTAGCTACCGATAGTTCTGCTGGTAGACCTATATTTGAGGCTGCACTGACATCTATGAACTTGAGACCAATTCTAATGAATGGTGAACAAAGTGGTCTATATTCGTATTCATTGAATGATAAATATACACTTCGTCCATCGAGTTCCATTCGTTTACCATTCATTGATATTGTTGCCAAATATCGATTCTATTACAAAGCATTGATAAGCATCAACACAGGAGTAAATCAAGGTGTCTTTGAAAGAAATTACGATATAACACCTGATCATTTCATGCCAGCTGGTGTTATCACTGTTCGTGACAATCAAGTACTTGTTGGTCAAGCAAATTTGCCAGATGTTCCAGAAAATTATACAGAAACATTTAGTGTTGGCCAAGATAACGATGTTCGCTATATGATAAAAGGCAATATGACATCAAAAACTGATGACGACGCACAAGTATCATTAGAAACTTATGAAATTGATGTTTACGTTAAGAATTTGAAGAACAAAAATGTCGACACTCAACTTGTTGTTCAAGGAGGTGTTCAAATAACTCTTCTTAACACAACATGTAACTCTGTTAATGTTCAAGGAAGTCAACTCAATTTTCCAGTCCAACTTAAACAGGGCGAAACTCATCAGTGCAAGCTCAATGTTACAGTGAGATTGAATTAAATAGATCGATAACAAGCTCAAAAAAAATCCTAGGACATTAAAACATGTAGTTGTTGTTGTTGTTTGCTTGATTAAATAATTAAGTAAATGGAATAAAATTCTACGTGAAAGACTGCAATCAGCATGCTATTTGCTAAACTTATTGATTATTGTCTCTATTAGACGATAATAGAATAATAATGAGTGATTAGATCTTGAAAATGTTTCGTTTTGTTTTATTAATTATTCTTAAAATTGAAGACAACCAAGACAATGTCACAGATGTTTGATATCGAAAACTGCTTTGATTTTGTTGTTAAATTCTTTTATTTATTTACCTGTTTCAACATTTGAATAAGTAGCAGCATTCATTGCAAATTATGTTGTTCCACAATACATATAAAACAACTCAAAACAATCATTCCTGCGTAACAATATTCTATCTAATTTCTTTTCTTCGGATACACTTATTTGACGAAGAATAGAGTTTGAAACTCGTTTACTATGATCATTCTTGTGCAATTCAAAATATCCATGACTAACTGCATTTTGATTTCATCTTTCATGTAGGATATTTCTTGATCAAATTAGTTGTTCTTTTACTTGAAAATATTTTCAATTGTAAAAATCATTGCGCATATTATGATAGTGCATCCTCAACTTAATTCGATTACAGTTTTATATTCATTTTCTTCAAAGAATAAGTCAGTCGTGTTATCAGCCATCAGAAAAAAAAATTGAAAAAGCAAAAGCTGATCGTGTGACAATACCAATAGATCACTGAAAAAAAAATTGTCGCCAATTGATTCAATTTAATCTGTGTTATGTGCAAACATCATAGTATCAAATGTTTGTCAGTGTTACTGTACATCGATTTTCTTCAGTCATTAACATTCGTGTCACGAGTTTAAATCAAGGTTTTCTTTTCGTTTTGGTACACCAGTCATAGCATTAGAGCTGCAAGATTCGTTAGTCTCATTCTCCTTCATTAATTTGTCCATCGCTGAAAATATTTTTTTGACACACTATTGATCGAAAAAATCACTATGATCAATGCCTTTCAACTTATTTCTATGATTAAACATTGTTTCTATCTTTGTATTCTCCCGCATTCTGTCGACAAATGTATAAGTTAAAGTATTGCTAGATGACAACCTAATAAGCGTGACAAATTCGATGAAAAATATCTGTCAGAACTTCAATAAAACTCTGGTTCTCGACTCTTGGTCTAGGAAATCTACGCAGATGTTACTTAAAAATATTCGAGACCGATCGTAGGTTTATCATTCCACCCAAGCTCAAGAACATAAACAAAAGATATCGATTTGTTTTCATTATAATAACAAAGAGTGAATCACCTAAAACTTACTGTCCTATTATTGCTGTTGAGCGAAGAACTATTTATCTTGTCAACTTGATAGAATTATGTCTGTTGAGAAAGTTATTGACTTTCATTCATCCATACACTGATATAAAGATGAGAAAAAGAATAAAGTCTTTATTCTTTCTGGAACTGCCATCGATTCTGTTAATGGATTTCATATTTATTTGGTGTAAAAAATGAAAAAAACTACTTTTGAGAGGGGAAGTGAACGTTGAAGACCCCAAACTAATTCAATTTCGCGACATTAAATTGCAATTAACGGCAAAGTACACTTGCCTTTTCTTAAAAAAAGTCGCATATTGATTTCTTTCGAGTGAAAAATTTCTTTGTAGAACCAACACCATACCTGAGACACAGTTTCAATAATGCTATTATTCTCGCATTGATAGCTTATACTGTTTTTTTTCCTTTATTCATTTCTCTTCTATGTAAATTTATGTACAACGAGAGATTGTTGCTTTCTGGATGCATGAAATAGTTTCATAAACATCATTGCTAAGCATGGCAACAAAGATACTTCTTCAGTTGGTTGTTAAATTTATGCTTCATCGAGTAGAGCGTGACGTGATGAAGAAAGATATACGAAGCATAGCTGTTAATGATACACATAAGAACAGAAAAAAAAATCAAGATTGTGCTGACTGCGAGTGACACATATGTAATTTTTGCTCTTTTTTTCGTCGTTTTATTTCATCCTATTGCTGTTGCTCGCGACAATCATAAACGCTGTGTAAACAGGTATACGACTATACTCATATATTGCAGCTGGGAAAGATATTTCTTTATTATTGAAAAACAAGTCTTACCTCTACAAATTTGATTCATTTTCAAATTTTCATTAGAATTTATTTTCATCACCTTTCCATTGATTGAAAATTACGCAGTTAATCCTACGTAGAATAACTAAAGAGACTGGATAAGCACCAATATGAAAGACCGATTCCTCTACAGAATAATAACACCGTAGTCACTGATTGGTTTTTTTTCCACTATATACCAACAAATCTGACATAGGTGAGAGTTGTATATATTCTGCAACAATACTAAGTTGTCAAATAATTAATCATATCAGACCAATTTCAGCAATAAATTCAGATGGAGGAAGTAAGTATTATACTCGAATATTTGACTGAAACATGAAGTTTTAAATAATTTGAATATATTAATTTTTCGAGACGAAATTTTAGAAATTAGTCCATTCCTATTCACAAAGCTGAGTCACAAAAAGTAGACTAAATTTGTTTCATTCATATAAAAAATAAAAACCATGACCAATCTAAAAATAATGACATTCAACATTGGGTGTTGTAAACAATCACCACATGGAATTATCGATGTAGCACATACAATCAAAAATGAACAACCTAATCTAGTCGATGAATTGTACTCGAAAATGAACCTTTTATTTTGGCTGGAGATTTTAATAATTCACCAACTAGTCGAACGCTTGAACTTCTATTAACAGACGGAGGATTTCAACTACTATGTGATAAAAGTCCAAAGACTTTTCCAGCTCATAATCCTAGCAAAACGATTGATTATATATTACTGAATAGGAAAGCTATGGAAATATTCGAATTGAAAAGTTATTGAACGTCGGATGTCGAAAAGTCATCCGATCATCTTCCAATAATTATGGAACTTAGAAGAAAATAACATTTATTTCAATAAATATTCGAATAAGAAACTTATGCTTTAAAATGTTAATGCAATTGAACAGGATAGTTTGAAAATTAAAGAAATATTTGTTGTATTCATCTGAACATTCTTCTACGTACATCGAAACTACACATGTTTTGTTGATAGTCAAATAAGTTTTAGAAATATTATGTAAAATATGCTTTGAAATCTAGTTTTAAATTCTTCAAAGTTCTTTTATTCGAATATTTTCGATGAAAATATCTGTACCTATAAACTTCAGAATAAAAAATAATTCTTATGATGCTTTCTATAAACATAAGCAATATAGATTTTTCTATCTATAATATCTCTAATGTAGTACAGAATGGATGTATTGATATGTACATAACCAATTTAAGGAGATATTGAGATACAAAATATATAGGATTTATTAGAGATACTGAAAGTGTTCGATATATAGAAACAGTGTTGTTGATCTAGACTATTGAAACAGTTGAATAATCTCACAGAAAGTATACAACAAATCGGATAAATGAAATTTCATACACTTGATTGTATATTGCCTGTTGTCTATACACTTCAAAGGAGTTTCTTCTAACTTTCTTCTGTTATGACAAATTTTGGTTTATACTATCGAAAATATAAGGACATAGAGTGAAAGTTTTGTTGTCACTATTATATTCCATCTGTTATGAGTAAATTTTAATCAGACGAACGACCATTTGATCTATGGTGTTTTTTTCAAAGATTTTTTTTTTGGAACGAAAACAAATTACAGATAGATCTCTCGATTAGCCGGAAAATTCAATACTTGGATTTTTTTTGAGTTGGCACATTCTGTTTAAAAGGGGTGATTTTTCAGAGCCTCTCTTGAAACATTTTGAAATATTTTTTGAACGCATTTGTACCTGATGTATTCCAAAAGCAGTATGACTTACTAGAATCTCGCTATAAATGTTGAACATTCGAACTCTATGATGATGAGAATTGAGCTTATGCCAAACAAAATTATTTCAACTTCATTGATCATAAGGACATTATTGGATCTCTATTCGATGTTTCTATTAATTGGATATACTTTAAACTAAAATATAACACCAAATTCTAGTTGAGTTTATAAAACTCTATCAATCACGCTAAACATCGCGGCAAGGATGTGAATTTTGTGAGAATGGCCAATGATGAAAATGTAGATTAAGTATATGACAATAAGAATAAAGTTGGCGCGATAAGACTTATATTACTAAGCAAACTTAGCATCAGCAATTCTTCTGTCATATCCACAATAAATCGCACCAGATGATCGTTTGAAAAAATTCTCATTTTTGTTTAAAATCAGATGACCGATGCAAACAATCATGTATCAAACTTGCGTGTAATCAATGCTGATTAATTCAGATTTTAGGCTAGTAAAATTCAATCGATCAAAAACAGTTTCTATTTTACATGTTGTAACTTTTAGTATATGTTTTGATCGATGTCATTTTTCGATCGTGTATTCTAATAATATTTCTTAGATCCATGAAATTCATTTACATTACATCGAATAGTTATAAGAGAGATCACTGTGATTACATGAAATCTTTACCATAATTAAACATAAAAAACGAATAACAGCAAAAATATTATGAAGCATATGAAATAGTGTGTGCCACCGTAAATAACCTGTATGCTTGATTTATTTCATAAGAGCGAATCTTATGGGAAAGCCGTCGAATGCTTTTTTTTCTTGGACTGATCATATTGTTGCTACATATAGAGGGCGTGAAGTGTGAGATGTGCCTGTAAAGAAGATCGACACCCACACCCACCCATGATGTAAGAACTATCGAAAAAGAAACAGGTTTTGGTCTATCAATATGAGTACAACAAATTCAAGACTTTGTGATTGGGTTTTAAATTGTTTGTATTTGATTTTTGTCCCAAATGATCCACACCCTAAATTCAAATAGCAAGAATTTGGTCCCAAGCTCTAAATCTATTCCGGATATGTTGCACCCCTATCTGTTTGTCAATCGGATCTTAGTACCAACTTTGAAATTTGAATATGTAAGTTTTTGAGGCTTTCAAATGTTAGAACATGAGTAATCAACAAATATGTCTTTTAGAAATGCATTCTCTATAACACGACTGTTATTATATCATATTATTTGATAGATTTTAGGATTGTGTCACATATATGAAAGATTCTTTGTAACTTGTTCACTCACTTGAGACCACCAATGAATCATTTAACAATATCATCTTTAGGAGTTTATCATATATCTTTTTTGTTCAGCTATAATTTATAAAACACGATAAGAATCGAAATAAATGTTGCGTAAAACTTTTGCGTTTCTGAATGCAGATTTAATAAATATTTTCTGTAATAGTTACAATTAGCCAAGCTCCAACAAGTAAGTAACAGACAAAAACAACTTATGAAAACCGAGAATCAGATTACTTTTATTTTTCCAATTCAAACAGTCTACCGTGAATCAAAAGGACAGAAAAAACAAGAATATAAAGTACCGAAACGTCAAAAAGTGAGCACTATCTGGTTTTCAGATAAACATACATCATATGAATGAGGGCATCGAACTGAGAATAAAAAACATTGATTTACTCTTTCTAAAACATTCTGCACATTTTTTCGAATTCGATACTCAGAACTGACACTAAAATCAATTTGAATCGAATTCAGAAATATTAGCTATTTGGCATTTCATAGAGAAGATCAGTTTGGAAATTAAACTGAGCTTTCTTCAAGTAAGATTCTTGTTGTATTTATTGGATAACGGACTTCATAGAACTATGACAATTTTTCTAATGTACCATCGGCAATGAGACCTTTGCTTTCAACAAAAATTGCGACATTTCTATCAAAGTAGGAATCCGACGTTCGATAGAAATGTTAAGACTTTAGTAAAGAAAGACACTTTTTCAGTTGCAAACAAACATTTTAAAAAATCAGCCTTTTCTTAATTAACTCATTATTTAGCGAGCAAGACAAAAAGCTTGGCTGCAATTATTAAAGAGAAATAGAGGTAAATTTCTAAAACGGTCAATATCATTCTGAGAGATTATAGGTTGAATATCTGAAAAGAACAATGTAAAAATATGTTTGAATCTCTTTTCGAGTATTCATATTTTTGGATAAATCAGATCATTCAAGTTTTCCAAATTTTTCTGTCAGAAAAAAAGATGTTTTGAATAGTTGATGCAATCATTTAAATGTTGTCTCATTTAGTCGGAAACGAGATCGTACTCATTTTTTAGAACTTTTAGTATCTCGTTTAACAAAAATAATACCAAAATTAACGTCTACAAACGAAAATAGTGAGCAAAAAACTCTAGATCAATACAATAATCTATGGCATACAGTTATAAGAACCAAATTAGTTTTGTGTATCACTTTGAGATAGATCAATATTATTAGGAACATCAAAATATGCCACTTCTCCCTGTTGTAACATAAGAATACGATCACTATTGGCTATTGTATTCAATCGATGTGCAATCGTCAATATGGTACGATCACGAAACTTGTCAGCAATAACCTCTTGAATCATCCTATCGGTCGTATAATCAACATTTGCTGTAGCCTCATCAATAAGCAATATGTGGCTCCTCTTCAGAATGGCTCGAGCTACACAAACCAATTGGCGTTCACCAGCACTCAAATTAGTACCTGATTCCATTAGCAACATATGGAGTCCATCGGGATGCTTGCATACTAATGGTTTGAGTTGAACAGCTTCAAGTGCTGTAAGACATTCCTCATCTGAGAATTGTTCGAATGGATCAATATTGTATCGAAGTGTACCACAGAATAGTATCGGTACTTGTGGAATAACACTTAGATGAGAACGAAGATGATCAAGTGAAAGACGTCCAATATCGATATCGTCGATGAGAATTGTTCCGTTGATTGCTGACTGATCGACCAATCGAAAGAGAGCTTGAAGAAGTGATGACTTTCCGGCACCTAGATGAAAAATAGATACTGATAAACAAATTTCGTCAAAAGGATAATCATAGATTTCAATATTTCAGGTCCATTGGGAGCACACTGTACATTGTAAATGCACATAGTAAAATATTCTTTATAAAATACTGAAATCTTCTTTCACATCAGTTGCTGAAAAGATCTTATTGATAAAACCGGAAGGCAATAACTGATGGAATGCGCTGTTCAAAAAATAAATTTCCTTGTCAACGAATCGTTTCAATCAGACGTTAGAAATCAGCTACTGGTAGAATTAGTCCTATATAGTATGTAGTTACTATTTAAACGTGTCTTATTGCTCGAAAACGCTTTTTTTTACGAGTTATGCCTTATGAAGAATTGGGTAGTATCGACTCTTGTACTCTTCGAAGTAAACGAAGTACATGACTCGTTCTTTATGTGAAATGATCGCAAATAAAAAGAGAAAGATCCTGTCTGATGAACCCTGTTAAACTTTTTATAGTTGTTTCAATTGGACATACAGAATAATTGGTCATTTTTTCAAAAAAAACAGTGCACTGCTTAGAAATGTCTTCTTGTAAGAAGAACTCTTAGGAGACTCAGGCAAATTGTTTTCGACTACACAAATTGTATAAGAAGAATTCGCCATTTCCTTGAATTCTTACCAAGCCAATGTTGTAGCGTGCGCTATTCTGTATTGATATGCAGATTTCCTAAACGATGGTCGTTTACAGCATTCAATTCATGTGTCTTTTTACACCTATCTCGTGGGATCTGTCTATCTTTATTTGATTCCGCTTAGCTTTGCATCAAAGAACAATTTCACAATTTTTATGTATACATTTCGAAATATCAACAGTGGCTGAGAAAGTGCAAGAAAATCAAAACGGATTATATCTAATGAACTTGATATGCCATAAGCATTTCGAAAATCGTTCGCTATAATCGTATTCGATCAAACTTCTTTCATTGGTATAGTCATGCGTTGGGAATAGGAAAGCATGCCACAAATAGTCTGATTTGAATAGAGAAATACAAACATAAGAGAACTACTTTCAATCATGGATTTTCGATAATAGAAGAAAACATCAACATCAGTATCTTTCTTCTGTTTATACCTATCCATGTTCGACCGATTTCCTATCTCCTCATTAGGAATGCTCAACACATATATTCCGAGACGTATAGTAATCATACCTGTCCGACCAATAACTCCAATCTTTTCCTTGGATTCAATTCGTAGATTAAGATTTTTGAGCACAGGATCGAGTTCTGGTCGATAGCGAAAAGTGTAGTCTTTAAATTCGATAATACCACGAGACGGCCAATCATCTGCAGGTTGAATGAGTACACCATTTTTATTACTATTTTGATGGCTTTCTGGCACTAGTTGACCATATTCATGAATACGTTCTGCACTGGTCATGAAATTTTCAGCTTCGGCTGATTGTCGCATAGACCATTGAAACAGACCTGTTAAATTGATACAATAGCTGATACTGAGTGCTGCTGCCGATGGATCGATTTGATGGCGCAAAGCTACTGCAAGAATAGAAGTAACTAATATGAGTATGGATATTATAATATCAAGCCATAAACCGAACCAACGAGCAGTGGTAAAGAGAATGAAGTAAGCTCGTGCATTGGCATCGATTCTTTCCATGAACATATTCAAAAAATCATCTTGAGCATCAAACGCACGAATACTAGTAAGTCCGTCTAACGATGACGAGAACAAGGCATAAATTGGACTACGCTTTACACTTTCAAGTCGTTTGAGTTGACGACTCAAACGAATGTAAATTCTACGAAGCCACAAAACTGTAGGCACCAAAGGAATGAGAATTAGAAGCACCCATGGATTGGTCATTCCAATGATTGCAATGGAACCGAGAGTCATTAGTAAATATTGCATAGTATCAATTAAAGCCAGAGGTAATGATTCATCTAACACTTGTTGATCTTTGCTTGCTCGATTCAATATTCGTCCACTTGGATTGCTTTCAAAGAAGCGTAACGAAGTATACAAGATACCTTTGAGCATTCGATTGTGAAAATGGGTTGAACCGCTCAACATGATATAGAAGATACAGCCGGTACGTATCAATGCAATGATGAATGTAGCAAATATAGCTCCAAGATAGACGTAAGCATAAAATGAGGAACGTTGTTCACTCTCATCTTTACCAGACCATAGAGAAAGCCAAGTATTTGTAAAGTCGTACAGAGCTTCATTACTAAGCATAAAAATTATCATAAGAAAAAAGCCAAACCAACGTAAAGGTGGTGAAGTAAACAGTTGTATCCAAACACTCCACTTGATGGCACCATCAATTAATGTCTCATTCTTTACAATTGAATTTATATCAGTTATAGCATTGTTAAGTGTCCAATCTATCTCACTGTCGTTCGATGAGTCTGTTTCTGATATATCATTCGATAACTCATTGTCAATAGATTGTTCAATATGTAATTCATCGATGTGACCATTCCTCAAGAGAATCATTTGATCTGCTTCAACTAAAAAATGTGTCTGATGTGTAACCAATATCCGAGTCTTTCCACGAAGGAAACTACGAGGACCGATGCATTGGTCAAAAATATTCTTTGCCACCTTTGGATCAACAGCTGCCAATGGATCATCGAGTAAATATAAGTTAGTATCAACATAAAGAGCACGAGCAAGTGATATTCGAGCCTTTTGTCCTCCACTCAAATTGATACCTTTATCACCAATCATCAATAAATCACCAACTTCACCGAAATTGAGTAGATCAATATCAAGACAACATGCCTTGATTACATTGTTGTAACGTTCTTCATCCATTGGTTTACCAAGAAGAATATTAGCTCGAATAGTATCAGCAAATATCCACGCCGATTGTGGAGCGTATGAAATAGAATCAATATACAGTTGTAGTCTTCCACTGATAATATTGATCTCACCAAGAATAGCAGCTAGTAGGGTTGATTTGCCAGCACCGATGGCACCTTTCACTCCAACTAAGTTACCTTTTTTGATTTTGAGATTGAGAGAAAACAAAGAAGGAGTATCTTTCCAAGAAAATGATGCATCTTCCATTATAATTGCATGGTCATCCTTTTCGTTTTTCACTTTTTCACTTTTTCACGTTTACTCAACAACATGTCGAGTTGCATAAACTGATCGATTCTTTTTGCAGAAACACGAGCTTCACTAAACTTTTCGATCGCGACTGGCAGCGGAAGTGTTACTGAAGTTCGGAGTATGCCGAAGAAGGCTAGTGTCGAAAAAATATTTTCTGGAAGCAAGGTTTGGCCCATTAGCCAACTACCACCGAATGTAACAAGAGAAATCAAAGGTAATGTTCCGAAGGCGAGAGCAGTATTAACAGCTCTTAAACAACTAGATTTGAAAATGTGCGAAAGTTCATGTTGGCGTGTTTCACGTACTCGTTGCTCCATTGCTTTTTCCCAATTGTACATTTTAATAATTTGACATCCGTTAACAAGTTCATTGATGATTTGGACACGCTTGTCTGTATTTGCCATTGTGACCTTTCGGTATCGGCTGAACTGTCTACCGAAAATGAGCTGTATAGGTACTAATAAAATCAGTACTGCATAGCCGAATAATGTTGGCAAACCGATGTTCCACCAAATAAGACCAAATATTGTAAGAACTTCCAGAGGTACCAACACTAACATATGCACGTAAAGGCTTAATTCTTCAAATTTACCGGCGTCATTTGCTACTAAATTAATCGCCTGAGCAGCAGTAGTCTTGTGAAGAGCTGCGGTATTAATGGCCAATAAGTGTTTATAGATGGTAAATGATAATGCATTGCGAATGCGCATGCCTATGCGTGTATTTCGTAATAAAATTTGTTGGGCCATCATGGTTTGTACAATTGCAGAAATGCAAAGACCAATAGCACATAGATAACCAGTGTAAGCAGGTAATCCTGATTGACCTTTAATATAGAGCACAATTTGACGAATAAGCAATGGCTGTGCAATACGAGCAATAGAAAACGGAATAACAAGCAGTATGCTTATTAGAAAATCTTTAAGAAATGTTCGCTTGAATACATGCCATGTACCTTGCCATTTAGAACTATACTGATTCACTCTATTCAATAAAAATGAACATTTGTCGTTGGCAGAAAGATCGCTAAGATCATCTTCAACAAGCACACGTTTATTACCCAAGGAAAGAATAGGCGTTATCCACAATAATAATGGTATCTGTATCCATCTTGTCCATGACGATTCAGCCCAATCCAATCGACATGATTGTCGCTGTTTACCTAAATATATATTTTTATCAAAATTAAATTGTATTCTGTACTTCTGTTGAGCTAGCTACCCCAGTCAAACGTAAAAGTATAAAAAACGCGTGCATTCGCAAGAAATTTTTATAAACATACATTTGCTTGCAAAAAATTTCTTATTCGTCTTATTTCATACACCATCTTGCAATTTTTGTGCATCAATGCAGGTTAACAACACATGCATGTAAGTACAAATTTTTAAGTTTTTCAGTAAAATACGCGAGATCTTGCATGACTCTAATATTTGCAAATACTTGAATGCGCTGATCTGACCTCCTCCAAGTCCTGCATGTCAATGCAAAAAGGTCCTATTTATGAAAATCAATAATGGAGCGATTCTGCGTTGACATGCAAGTTTTTAATATTTTGTAGTAAACATACTTATTAGCATTCGTGTACACACGCGTTTTCGAAAGTTACTGGATGATCATTATATCCTTCGGGTGTGATTTGACTACTAACGTAAGTAGATAGTCGAATGGTAAAGCAATTCGTCTTATACAAGAAAGTATGTATGTTCGAATCTTATCTCTGGAAAAAGAACTCTTGCGTGTTCATGCATGTCTGCGATATGTACTTCGTTTTTTGACCATTCCAATATTGTTTTGCATGTACACGCAAGAAGTTTCTACAAAAATACTCGTATGTGCCCGGGTGTGAAAGTATTAGACGTGTACTCGCGAATATAGTGTCTCCTGTGACGCGTTCACACGCAATTTTTAAACTTTTGCGTTTGACTGGAATGTAGAAATTTGAGAGCTATTTTGTCTTAAAATAATTCTCCTTCTGCTCGCGAAGCAACATAATGAAGATGAATGAACATAATAAAAAAAATATGATGTTTGGAAAGAATGAAAGATATTTATTGTTGCTCTTGTTAGCTCAATTTTTAAAAACATTTACTAAGAATTTCTACTGTAATTATTTGGACAAAAGCTCTATATATTATTCAGTTTTATCACTCTCTATATATGATGTAGTTTTTTTTATTATTATGTCAGATTAAGATAAGAAATCTTAAACTATTCGATTGGACACAGCAAAAAGAATCGTTTCTACATAATATACCAGAATACGAATCAAACTATTTACTTTTCAGAAAATAAAAAAAGAACTTGATAAACTTAAACTTTTAAGAAAAATAATGTTGAAAATAATTTAGAGAATAAATCATTCTATAACTATGGACTACGCTGTTGAACTTCAAGAATAATTAATGCTCTATCAAAATTTTCATTACTTATTATTTATTATATTTTGAACAGATTCATTTCATTTATCATTATTAAGAACGCTACAAGTTCTTATCTCTTATCAGAGTCATCTGTGTGAACAACTTTTTCTTTTCCTTCTCTCTCATATATGAACATATGCATTACAGTTGAGAGAACGAAAAAAACAATACAGAGAAAAACAACAAAAACTTGTTCTTGTAGGGTATAATATTTTAGGGTAATGCTCAATTTTTTGCGCTCTTTCTAACGATATCATTCTTGTGTATTAGACTTTTGGTCAATTTTTATTCGACCAGTTAATATAAAAAGTGCCAGATATTGAAATCAATTTGAAGTAAATCTGATTCATAAATTGGAACTGAATATATTGGATTTATTATCGATACATTCGTACAATGATACTCACTTTCAATCGGCGAAGATACTTTAGATGAATCTAGTGAACTTCCATTGTGCAAGTTTGATTGTGTTTCTGGAGAAATTCGCGATGTAGAAAAACTACGAATACGCCGTTTGGCTGCTGCGTTGACATTTATTACTTTTCTTCCTATCATCGCTTGCTTACTGCCAGTTGTTGATACTGATATGAGTGAAGAAAACAATTTATGATCTCTACTATTATTGTACAAAATTTTATTACTAGCAATTACTATTCTCATTGTCGTTCTTTATCTCAATGTCAATAGACCCTGGCGGATTAAGTAGCTCTACTTATTTTGACAAAAAAAGTGTATAATTTTGAAGAAAAAATCAAGGCGACACTCCCAATGATTTATAAAAGGTTCATCTTTCATCAAGCTAAGATGGATGATTTGATTAATATATCAGTGAAAAGTGCGCCATTCTTTTTCAGTAAGATATCTCCTTCCTTACATTTCAAGAGAACGTACTTCAATTTTATTGTTTTATTTCGTTAGGTGGAGGTCATTATGATCTTAAATCCATATACACAGGTGGCCAAAAGTATCCCCCCCCCC